CTGTGAGAAAGTTTAAACACAAGGTGTGAATACTCAGAGTAATAATGTTGTGAAATATCATAAAATGTTCATGATTATGTAATCATAGTTCAATATCAATTGATAAAGCAAATGATGTCATACCATAGGTCATAGAATGGGTAGATCCTCGGAAGAAGTGTAAAGTTAGTAGGAATAAATTGGATTTATAGGCAAATAAAACATTACGTAACACGGTGAAAAGTTTGGTAAGATAGACTTGAATGTTGCTAAAAATATTTTGATTAAAATTAATAAGTGTGACAAGTGAAGTAACAGTGGAAAGTGTTCAAAGTGGAAATACAAAATTAATTTTATTTTTTAAATTATTTTGATTATAGCTTGATTCCATAGGGTATTTTTGGTACACGTATGGTATTTTCGACGTCTAATATCGGTAGCCCACATTTTGCAGGCCGACCATTTATATTAGGTGTGCGTCAGCAGGGGATCGGATCCCGGACCATGTGCATGGTCGGCGAGAGTCCTAATCGCTGTGCCACCAACGCCACAGACAAACATGATGATAATAATAATAAGCGGAAGGTGTAAAGACTAAATAAAAAACAAAACGAAAAATAAATGAATAAATGTCCACCTCTCCATGGCCAATGCAGAAATAGGGACTGTACACACTTCGTTTTTGTACACAAAGGTCCGAATTGAATTCGTGAATAGCCAGATCCACCATTGTGCTTAGAAGCTTAGAACAAGGAATGTGTGGCATGTTTGCATGAATTCGATAAATGATCTTAAAATCATTTTCACGGTTAGTTGAAAGATAGAATAATATGTAATTTTTACAAATTCTCAACTCAAAAAGCGCTGCCGTGAAAAAGAAAGGTTGTTCAAAATGAAAAACAAATCTGGTGTTAAGAGAATGAACACTTTGATTAAGCTTGAATTACAAAGATTGAATGCTCTCTATAACCAGAAGTTTCTTTCATGTAAATCCCCATCAAATATGTGGAAGTTATTAAAGGAAATCACAGGTGGTAAGCAAATGATGAATGATATTTCTGTAGATGTTAACATGCTTAATGAATCCTTCATATGTATCCCAGCAAATGTTATGATTCCTAACTCAAATAGTGTAAATAATGACTGCTTCTCATGCTTTAACACGAATGATGTCTTCAATCTCTCAAACCTACTCAGTCCCTTGGTCCTGCTGTTATCCTTAAGAAGTGTGCCGACATCTTGTGTTCCCCATTAACTGACATTTTCAACGAATCGTTTTCCAAAAGTATTATACCTGAATCATGGAAAAATATCAAGATCGTTCCAGTGCCTAAATCAACAAGTGGACCTAATGTTAAGTTTAGACCCATTGCTATTACCCCACCTTTTTGAAAGTTATGGAAAGACTTATTTTACTTAATCTTGAACCCTCTTTAAAGCCTTTCAACGACCCCAACCAGTTTGCTTATAAACATAGTAGGTGTACGTTAGATGCCGCTGTTGTCCTACATCATAGTATAGTCTCTAGTTTAGATAAAGGAGCTAAATACGTTCGCTGTGCCTTCCTTGATTACACATCTGCATTTGACTCTGTTCCCAGGTCTCTCTTGCTAAGTAAGCTTGCTGCAACACAGGCTGAGAGCTGGACAAATAAGTGGTTGCATTCCTATTTTTCTGATAGGAAGCAGTACACCGTCTACAATGGAAAGTCCTCCACTACCTCACTTACTTTAGCTGGTGTTCCTCAAGGTGCTGTTCTTTCTCCCTTTCTGTTTTCGTTTTTCTTACATGACTTGCCTCATTCTGATGTAGCCACTTTTGTTAAGTATGGCGATGACCTCTCTGTTTCTATGCCTGTCAACTCTCAGTCAGATTGTTCCAAATTAAATAGCTTTCTGTCGGAAATTAGTCAGTGGTCCTCTTCAAACGGACTTAAGCTTAATCCGTCTAAATGTCAGGTAGTCAATTTCACTTTCAGACGTAAACGTGACCTACAGCAACTAGTTAGCTCACATGGCCCCACTATCATTGACGGCACAGAGGTTGAAAATACATCTAATGTCAAGTACCTTGGGCTGAGTTTTTCCACCGATCTTTCCTGGTCCTCCCACATCTTGCTAGTTACTAGAAAGATGTTTCGCTTAACGTTCTACATTAGGAAATTTAGGCAGTCTGGCATAAAGCAGTCTTTGCTTTCTCAGTTTGTAAATTCTTGTATTCTACCCATCCCCTTTACTGCTCCCCATTAATCTTTCCTGGACTACTTAAGAAAGACTTTGCTTTGCTGAGAAGGGCACTAAAAGCCATTAGTAGGGCAAGTGGGATATCGTTAAACCAACTGGTTAACACTATTGTAGATAGACATATAATGTCATGTAAGAAACTAGCGAATACAATATTGTCGGACCCCGAGCATCCTCTCTATACGCAGCTGTCTCCTTGCATTTCATCTGGTAGAACTAGAAGCAGCTATAGGAGGCTATATGCTAGGACTACCAAATACAAAAACTCCACAATACCATATCTGGCACAGCTGTTATGTGATGAGAAATCCGTTAGGTATGACACGATCAACTTACTGCGGCACTCTAACAAATAGTCCCATTAGTTTTTGTTTTCCTTTCTTCGTTACTATAACACTGTTGTTCACATCTATTACACATTAATTTTATATTTCATATCCTGTGGTGCATTGTTTGAAATGTAAACGCTACGCTGTTTTTTATTATCTTTTGTTTTTTTTTGGCGTTGGTTTTTTTAATTAATTAATTTTTTTTGGTTTTAAAAATCTTATAAATTTATGAGGTAATTAGATGCAATATGTTGTAATGCACGCTGAAAATTCCATACCTGTACTACAAATACTGTTTGGAATAAAGCTGTTAATATATTATATATTATATTAAAATGCGCATCTTGTTGGATTTCAGTGGCAGTCACTATGGACTAAGTTACTTCAAGCTAACCCTCAGACATCGTTGAAGCATCCGTACTAGGAGCCGACTTGTCAACAGAGGCCACAGTCTGAGGAAACCACTAAGTGACACCACACGCCAGGATCACCGAACAGAAATCGGTGAGTTTGTCGTTCGAGGCTGCATAGGAGCAGTCAAACTAGTAGACACATATAGAATGAGGCAAAATTGGGCAGTTTATCCTTAATTCCAAAAAGCTAAATTAGCATGATTATGAAGAAAGAGAGAGAGAGAGGGTGAACTTCTGTTGCATCGTATGCTATTTTTACTGCATTCTTTGAGCGTTGTGTTGTTATTTAGCTGATGTTATCAACAAGAAAGTGATCTGATCTTTTAACATTGGAAAATCTACCTTCTATCGTGTATGAACATACGAATGAACTTAAAGTGAAAAAAATGACTGTGACAGAAACCACCGTTATGAATTTGCCTTTGATTTCGTATCAGAACACTCGCCAACAATGTAAGTGATCCAGGGTTCGATTTTTGGCCGACGCAATTTTCACTGTGGTCTAGCCTATGGTCAGCTCGGTAGACAGGAAAGATTGGGCATGAGGTTGTTAAACCGAGACTGCAAAAAGACAGCAACATCGTTACTGAAACTTCAGAGCTGACGTTTAAAGTCCTATGTTCCTATCCGGACGCAAAGTGTCCCTATTGTTTGTTATTCTGCTTTCATATATTTTAAGATTTTTTTCTGACTGAATTTCTTGAAATGGAAACTAATATATGGGGATGTTGGTCATTATGATTGCGGCCTTTATTCAATTTTTTAATATCTCCATACGACATCTAATTTTAACTTGATAACGTGGTATATATATGTGTGTGTTAAGACTCAATTATACTGGACAGATTTGTCATGTATCAAATTGTGAGTTGGACTTATTGTGTAAAGCTTGATAATAATACCCATGCCATTCATGTTAAAGTAATTTTGACAGGGTTCGAACCAGGAACCCACTGACTGGAAGTTTAGTGATTAAGCGAATGATAAAATGCATCAAGAAATGAAAACTTACAGAAGTTTGTAGCGGTATGTTCCTTACCAGTTTTTCTGATTGGTAATTGTGTATATTAACGATTAAATAGATACTAACTGTACTCAGGAAGCTACCAGACAATAAAAGGAAACCAGATGTGGTGCCAATGAATCAAATTCACTTTCAGATATTACGATTCATCTATCGATCTAATCTGGACTGCATTCTTTCGCAGTACTCACTAACAAACTCTATTCATAACCTAGAAAAGACTCATTTTTTTCTCCGAGAGAATAAGATCTGTACACTATATAGTCTTGGCATGAAGAACCTATTCTGCAACGCCTGATTGGATAGTTTCCTATAAAAAGAAAGAAAACAAACATTTAGGGCTAGACAGTTACTATGGTGACCACCACATGATCGACTGTCAGTCATACAGGATAACGATCATCTCAGAATAAAACATCCCAAAATAACTACGGAAAAAGATACCTTGGTGGAATATTAGTGAACAAGTGGGAAATAAGAGCATTGTTTATGAAAATTACGATGATGAGAGAGTTCGAGCCAGTTCTATATTCATTCTGTAAAACTGTATCAACTCAGTCATATTCCCATTTAACCAATAATCAATTAGGTAACTATGGTACTTTAGAAAACAAAACAAATCAATAGTAGGCGTTTTCATTCATCTATTCACCTTCTGTTTTTCATGTAGTGACTCATTTGTATCCTGAAATTGAATGTGAAAATAATTTTCCTGAAGTAATCACACATTATTGTTTAATTTCATATATTTTTTTGTTTTGTTTGTATGCCTTCCTTTTGCTCGTTTAGACAAAATAGATATCATAAATTATACACCCATTTTCCTTTGGTCCTCTTTCTTTCATTCTAAGCAAATGCCCATCATTTAATTTCAATGTGCTCAATGGTATTTAATATGTATGACTCAGGTCAACAGGCATTGGACTGAATTTCAACTGTATGTACACAAATATCCAATATGCTTAAGTCTTAAGAATATATTTGAATCAATAATTCATTATTAACCAATCAGTGAGTAGATCATGTGTTAGTGACCTTGTCAGCTATACTCCCATATAAGTATATATGTAATACCATTTAATTTTATGCAATTTCATTTCGTTTAGCTTCAAATTAAAATTACACTGAAATCAATTATTTGGATATTTTATTTTACATTTGTCAAAAAAACAATAATCCTAAAATGACTTTTACTGACCATAACATTTTTAAACTATCAACAAGTATAATAAACAAAGATTAAATTGACATTAGATCAGTAAAACAACTTTTTTATCCCATCTCTAAGATAAAAAAAGTAACAATTTAAATCATGTCACAAGAACTTTGGCGGTCGAAAACAGGCAGTGTCAGTTCACTGGATCGATTGGCTAAAAGTACTCTATCAATGGATTTACCAGAAGCAAGAAACTGTCGTGAAGCACGTGAACAAAGTCGTAAAGAAATGCATGTTTTAAATGAAAAACTTGCTTCACAACTTGAAAAGGTAAACTGACTTCATATCGATTTGTTGATTTTCCGTATTTCATTCCAAATAAGTATTTTCTAAATTCTTTAATTATTATTATTATTTTTATTATTTTTACAATGGACATTACATCTCAAACTGACATCAGTCAGCAAATCATTGATAACGAATTAACACTGGATATCTGTTTTGTTTTAATCCAAGACTGTTGAGTAATACCTATCCATGACTCTACTCCGCTATTGATCTAGTGGTATGAAACCCAGTAATCTGTCAAATCTAAATTCTTTTAATAGGCTCCCTGAATGCTACTAATGTTACTATTATAATTTTGTGTTGTACTTAAGTGTCAATGGATTACAGATGGTTAGTTTGTTTTATACATCCTCACCTTTCAGTTTCTTAGTGATGAACAATAAAATTTCGAAAAATGTAGACAGTAACTTGCCTAGTTGCGTGCCACTTGACACATAAATCAGGGAGTACTGGACATATGTTTCGTTCTAATTTGGGACTCTTTAGCAGTACACAGCGGCGAGATGCAAACCAAGTACCTGACAGCTACAAGGCAAGCTCATAAAGCCAATCCAGTGGCCCTTGAATTCCATCTTCTGCCGATTCATGATATATAGCGCAACCACCAGCCAGTATCATAGGCGAGTAACTGTTCTCTATCCTGGCTTGGTAAACCTCTCTGGCGACAACTTGTTATTAGGACTCCTGTTGATTTCCTGTATACAACAAGTCGCTAGTGAGCATCAAATTAATTATCAAGTATTGGTTTTCAGGATTCGATTGGTTACATATTTAATCACGAACTGACATAAGTTAGAGATTTATTAGAAAACCAAAGAGTCATGGATAGTTGTTTTGTCCCAGTTTAGGACTCTTTAACCTCCGGTGAGTGTGTAGTGCTGACGGATGAAACAGTTGTCCAGTACTCCCTTCTTGTCAATGGTCCTCTAACTGATGTCAGCTTTTGATCAAACTTGTTATCAATCAGACCTATTCAGACTAGAATCATTAATTCTCCTGGAAAAAGATCTAATACAACTCATTGACGATTGACAATAAAGATGATATCATGATCAGAGAAATGAGTATTCTTTCAAGCTGTCTATATTCATCCATAGACCATAGTTTACTTCTTGATAGCTTGTAGTGTTTACGTACTAGTAAAGTTGATGGCGTTTTGAAAATAGTCATTGAAAAGATTAACGAAATCATCTGTACGACTGACCACATTGTGGATATAGCCCAGGAATGACAATTGAATACACGTTTTCTTCCTTCCAATAAGCCTGTTGTCTAAGCAGTAATTAAATACCAGATTTGGGTGAGGTTTGCAACGTAATTCGTTTACAGCATCTCCAATTCCCCGTATATACTAAGGACTCATCTGACTAGTTGCTCAAGTTCACTAATCCGTTCACATCAGGTAGTTTCGTTTTGGGCTGCCATAGTCTAGTCACTCATTTTTCAATATTTTGAACCCTCTCTTCAGACGCAGATGGGGTAAAGTATACAATTTAAGATCAATGAAATAAGAACGTAAACTATGTTACCTTCTACTATATATTATTAATTATTATTCCCTTGAGTTCCGAGGGGTACATACGGTTTCAACAGCACATCTCCATTTTGTTCAATTTTCTGCCGTCCTCTTAAGCTGGGTCGATGAATGCCAATAATCTCTCATCTCCTCCCAAACACTTAGTCTCCTCCATGTCATCCTCGCATTGATGTCCCACTGCGATTCCACACGATCGACTCCCTGCATTCAGTGCGATGTCATTTGACGGTTTCCTCAATGCATGCCCAATTCATCTCCATATTCTGCTACATATTTGTTGAGCAATCGGCTCTCGCCTATTGCTTTCTTCCCAACCAGAGTATCTTGTTACGCGTTCTTTCTGGCCATGTGATGTTCAGTAATGGAGCTAGAAAAGTGGGCGACTATTGATGAAAGTTTGAAACCTGTTGGTAACCTGTTTTGTGACCTTCTATGGAGTAGAGATTAAGCATGAGGATCACAGTAGTTTAATGAAACACTATGCTATATAATGGCATAAACATTGCAATTGACATGAAGAGAAACTAGTTATTTATCATTAGTTAGGAGGAAGTTTTGGTCTACGGCTTAACAACAAAAATGAAATAATAAGTAATCGAGAACATATAGGGAAAAAGATTACGTAATAACATACAAGAAAAGCATTTATAAAAGATTTCAACTCATTTAATTAACTTAAAATTAATTGACCAAAGATCATAATGATAATAATAATAATAGTGGAAAACATAATACAGTAATTGTTACCAGCGTAAACTGAGATCAGTGGCGTTTCTTTTCCACTTACAAAAATTAGGGTTTAAAGACGCTTGCTTGCTTGGCGGATGGAAGTAAAGTTGGATTTCTTTGCTTGTTAATGACGGTAAAAGCAGTTGCAATATCCACCTCCTTTTGAGATTTGATTAGCTTTCAAGCAATTTCTGTGGTAAGAAACTAGGGAACTTTGAACCTCAGGCTTTTTGGAATATATGCATAGAGAGTGAGTAGACATCTATCTTCTTGTCCTTTCAATATACTTTCTTCGACTAATCCTTGGAGGTAATTTTCGCTGGATACCTATCCACTGTTGATTGAAAAAGAGCACAACTATTGCTGTAAATAGGAACAAGTTTATCTGTCGGGTAACTGGAATGCATAGTGTTGTGGTTGTCCTATGGTGACGGATGGTCAAGACAAATTGTCTAGTAGATAGTGGTTCACAAGCTATATCCATAATTCAATAAACTTGAGCAGATTGAAACCCAAATGCTTTATTTTCAAGTGTTACTTTGTAAAGATTCGATTGGCCTGGGATTTGACCACGGGTTGACATCAGTTAGAGAACCATTGACAACCTTAAAGGACATCTGTTTTTTCCATAATTTGGCACTTTTCAATAGTACACGCCCAGGACCTTCGGATTATGAGATGATCTGGTTGACCATTCAACCGCTAGCACGGAATCCAACAGTTGGTTCATCAGTTCTAACTTTTGGTAATTAGCGATTATTTAGCGTCACCTCCAGCCTATGTCGTGGGTGAATACATCTCGACATACCGAATTTTGTGGACCCCACTGGTCACAACTTCTTATTAAAAGCTCCAGACAACTTTTTCCTGCAGTGAGTCACTAGTGAGCATCAGAATAATTGTCAAGTGTTAGTTTGTTAGGATGAATGATCAACGAGCTTGGCTTTGTAACCTGAAAGTATTGGGTTCGAACCCTAGCAATGGTAAATTCATGGTTGCGCACAGCTAAAGTATCCGAAACTGGAACGAAACAGCTGTGTAGTACTCTCTGATGACTTTCAAAGCTTCTCTAACTGGTATCATCAAACCATGATCAAACTTGTAACTAAATCATTTATTTAAGTGTTGGTTCGTAGGGATTTATTTCACTGTCTACTGTTATAGATACTCTGAATAAATTCTGGTGGTGAGCGTGAATGAGAAGGCTTGTTTTTTGTCTCTACAGACTCCTCTCCTCCAGGAAATAATAGATCATTGATAGGCCGTTTTGAAATTTCATTAATTTAAAGTAGTATTTCCGGTATTATAAATGGCATAAATTCTGTCTATCCGTTTGCCTGTCTGTCTGTCTATCTAAGTATCTCTATCTGCTGATGTGTTATTTCAAACATACCCCAATAAAAATCTACTGCAGGTGAATGTACTTTTTATGAATTAGGCACACTCTATCAGGCTTTAAATCGTTATTATTATTATTATTGTTAATTTATTGAGAACAGTGTGTAGTACAGTGGAAAAATAAAATTTTTATTAAAGTACTTATGAGAATACCATAAGATCAGAAAAATTTAATTATTTCACCTAATCATTACTTATCTATCAGTTCAATCAGCAATATTTAAGGTCACACTACTGGAGCATGTGTTAATACACAGAGTGAGTTAAAATTGGCTTCTACAGACAATCAGAGCTGTATTAAATTTAGCTGAAGGAAGATGAAAAGTTAGGATAAACACTAATAATAATAGCTTTATTATGCACAATAAGTTTACACAATATGCATAATTTTTAGCGTCGTCTATTGCACAATATATCTCCTCTTCAACCAGGAATTTCAAGTGAAACAGACACCTTCAGTAACATCATGTAACACAGTGATGTTAGATCTAAAGAATAACATAATCCTTTATGGTATTTTTCTATGGTCCTTCAGGAGTGAGCAACAGTACGTTACAAGCCAATTAAAAATGTGTATTAGTATTTTTGGCGACCCACAGACATAACTGAATGACTGTAACAACGAGAACTAAAGAAAATAAGATGCATTGTCTCAGATGGAGATTCAAGTAGTTCAGTGATTCAAACAGGCCTCTACAAGAACAGCAGTATCAGTTAAGAAGATCAAAGATATTCATACCATAATCCATGGTGTTTCAGAGGAATCCAAGATGCACATTTTGTCTCCTTTGGGACTCGTCAGTTGGATGTATCTACCTTCTCCAGTGAATGATAGTGTTCCACCTGAGACTTCAACCCAACACCTCATCGTTTCAGACATCAGGACTTTATCCATTAGACCATTTGAGCTCTGAGAGCCATTTCTCCTGGAAGAGACATTAGGCTTATTATTTGTTTCAAACCAAATTTTGATTTTGTCTTTGATTTATTGTTTCTAAATGTTGAGGGTCTCTGTTCATATAGTGGCTTCTAGTACGGACACTTTGACGATGTCTGCGAACTAACTGGAAGTGGATGTTGACTAGCACTAGAACCCAAGATAGGATGAAATAAGCATTCTAGATTCCATTAGTAATCACCATCCACCGAATAAAATGTTAGTCCGCATACATCGTTGATGCATCCGCATACTAGGAGCCGGAATTTGAATAGAGGCTAAACCTTTTGGTCTAGTCGATCAACAGGAAAATCAAATTTGAATTAAGAGTAAAGAATTTCTGAAGGTTATTTTGATCTGTATAGAGACTAGGAGTCAGAG